ACAAGAGTGCACACGCTGAAATGTCTCGCCTTCTTTACTAACCATTGATTTTATGTTGATAGTCCTAAATATAAAGCTTTACTACAAGTAACACATAAACTTAACATGATCCAAGAAAATGAGGTCAAGGTCAGATAAACCAAACGAGAAATACATGTACACCTTTACAATCATTCAATAAACCAAACATAGTTGACCTATTGCTTATAGTTTCTAAGAAACAGTCTTAACCAAGAAAACTTAACATTGACCAATGAACCATGAAAATTAGGTCAAGGTCAGATGAACCATGCCAGACAGACATGTACACCTTATAATCAATGTATGCATTAAGTAAAGTTGACCTATTGCTTAAACTATCTAAGAAACAAAATTAACCATTAAAACTTAACATTGACCAATGAACCATGAAAATGAGGTCAAGGTCAGATGTTACCTGCCAGACTGACATATACACCTTACAATCCTTCCATACAACAAATATAGTTGATCTCTTACTTACAGACCAAAACACAAAAACTTAACACTGAGAAATGAACCGTGAAAATGAGGTTAAGGTCAAATAAAACCTGTGAGACTGACATGTAAACAGCATAAAATATTTCCACACACCAAATATAGTTGACCTATTACATATAGTATTAGAAATAAAGGCAACATTAGTATACCGCTGTTCGAAACTCATAAATCGATAGAGATAAAAACAAATCCGGGTTACAAACTAAAACTGAGGGAAACGCATCAAATATAAGAGTAGAACAACGACACAACAAAAACACAACATTAAAATGTAACACACACAGAAACGAACTATAATGTAACAATGGCCATTTTCCTGACTTGGTACAGGACATTTTAAGAAAAAAATGGTGGGTTGAACCTGGTTTTGTAGCATGCCAAACCTCCCGCTTTTATGGCAATGTTAAATATAACATTAAAATGACAACATTACATGACATGACTACAATACAAATAAATGGGAGAACATATAGGACAAAGAAACACACGAATAATAGCTAACAAAAGGTACTAGGTTTAAAATTTAATAAAATTTAGAAAAAAAGACTAAAACTCAAAAACTTAACTTTGACCACTGAACCATGAAAATGAGGTCAAGGTCAGATAACACCTACCAGTTGGACATGTACACCTTACAATCATTCCATATACCTAATATAGTAGACCTACAGCTTATAGTATCTGATATACGGACTTGACCACGAAAACTTAACCTTGTTCACTAATCCATAAACGAGGTCGAGGTCAAATGAAAATTGTCTGACGGGCATGAGGACCTTGCAAGGTACGCACATACTAAATATAGTTATCCTATTACTCATGATAAGAAAGAAATTAACATTACAAAAAATGTTGACTTTTATTTCAAGTAGTCACTGAACCATGAAAATGAGGTCAAGGACAATGGACATATGAAAGACGTAAACTTCGTAACATAAGGCATCTATATACAAAGTATGAAGCATCCAGCTCTTCTAGCTTCTAAAATATAAAGCTTTTAAGAAGTTAGTTAACGCCGCCGCCGCTGCTGCCGGATCCCTATCCCTATGTCGAGCTTTCTGCGACAAAAATTGATTCATATAACATTTATTTATTTTTTTCAAGGATTTGTATAGTGAGACTGTTAGTCGAATGACAATGACATTGACCGTTAAATTTCATTTTCAATGCACCCATCTAACATACGGCTAAATCATATATCATTCGAAAGCATACCATCTGTACTATCTTTTTTGTCCGGTCGTCAAATATTCGTACGGTGCAATTTCTGTCAAATCACGATGAAAGGTCAAGGACGGACAAAATTATTTCTTATTTTACAAGATGTCAGAATTTTTGCATATTTTGTCTTCTAAGTAATTAAATCATATATGGAAATATAAAAAACGTTTAGAACAAAGACTATTAGTCAATTATCAAACGCACTTTAAAATATAAATCACATATTTTTAATAAATAGTGCTTTTTCCAAAAATTCCAGTGAAAATGATAAAAATGAGTGAAAACCAAAATATTCGTCTGTGATTAAATTGCTAATCACCATAAAACCAAATAATATATTTCATTTAGTGCTAAAGAAGTTTTTGAAATCATGATATTACTGCAATCACGCTTCTTACTAGTTACACAGCCAATCAAAACAACTCATACAGTTTCTTCTTTAAAATGATATATCAAGTTGTCAATTTGTTCCTTCTACTTTTCAACATTTAAAAAAAATCGTATTACACTGCCAGATTGAAAGACACGTTTTGACAGAATAATGAAACTGAAATTTTGGAAAAATCGTAGAAAATTCAGAAATTTTACCAGAAACATAAAAAAAGGCAAAGTTCTAGAATACAGTTTCAGCTTCATAATGATATCAACTATTTTGTTTTGCCTTTCATGGTTGTCGAGCATTTAGAAAAAAAATCAAAACACTGTATTTTTTGTTTTGTAATCCGGATGATACTCTAGCAAATTTCAAGACCAAGGTCTAGTTTAATAAGACTTTTCATAAACATTTATTGCAAACATATGTCCGAAATATAATTAAAATGATACCTAAGGCCATAGCTTTTACATGGAATAGTAGTTTATTCTTGGCTTGGTTTTTTCTCTCTCCTTTATAGCTTTTCAAACAAGATGACCCAGTGAATTTAGATGACCGACATATATGACAGGGAATGGACCTCCGTCATGATTCTTTATATTATTCATCATACTTCCGACCGAATCAGACATGGATTATCGCTCCGCAGGAGTCCCGATTGATCTCGAGCCGCGTTTCCATTCCTTTTAAATATACAATTCCTTGATAATAGTTATGCATCCTTTTATCAAAGTTTTGTTTTTCTTCAACACTTAGACCGTATCCCACTGTTGAAAATAACAAAAAAAATAAAGCAAATCTAAATTTCCATCAAATGTTTTTTGAAATACTACGGATTTACTACCAGGAATATATCCTTAGCTGTATTTGGCAAAACCTTTCGGAATTTGAGTCCTCAATCAGGGGCGGATCGAGCCATTTTTAAAGGGGGGGGGGTTCCAACCATATATTCCCATTCAAAAGCATTGATCGTCAAAAGAAAAAGGACCCCCGCGAATGGCGTACGACATTTAAAGCCTGGTATCTATAATGAGTTTATTTTACATTAACTTACAGTCTATGTCTTTTGATATGGAAATTCTAGCAATTCGCAATAATTATAGTTATAATAAGACTTCATATATAGTTAAATTATTACATGTAGAATTCATAGCTATAAAGAAAGATATTACTGTGTAGGTGTCACACCAACAATTCAACCAATCACCACCAAGAACGATATGTAAAAGTAGGCAACCTCTGACAAAACATAGCGCTTTTCATATTGCTGCGTTAAGCCCTCTGTTGTTGACCTGGCATCATTATTTGACATACAAAAACATACAAAATGATATGTTTAAATGTGAGAAAAACAAGCGTTAAAAATGAGATAACTTAAAAGTAGGACTGTAATGGTGAATTTGAATTCCTAGCTTTTTAACAATATTTGAATGTGTTATCATGAGTAAAATCCCTTCATGTACAATCTCCATTTGTGCACTTTAAAACATTGAACTTCACTAAAATTTACCAAGCGATGTAGGAGTATTGCTCATTACATTTTTTTTTTTAGAATAATGGATGGACAAATGAATAGAATGAACAAAAACAAATGGGCGCAGGGACAAGATTATTCCTACATTTGTTAAACACACATATAACACCATGAACAAAGCGATAAAAGTAGGATAGACAAACAAGTCCTCAAAACACTAGACCGAAATGTACGAACACTACCTTTAACCGGTGGTGATTGACGTTGGTCGGGAAGGGTATTCAATCTTCCATAATATCAATTTTCAGTCATATTTGATAAAACAACTAATATACTAAATAAGTATGTAATAATATGCTAACAAAATAAAGCCAGGTTTGTGATTGTAAAGCGCGTGGTGCAAACAGTATTTCTTCGAATATTGAACGAGAATAAACTTCTCAATATATATATGTCTTCCACTTTCGACATCGAAAAAAATATTTTTACTGTTTATACCATGTATATCCCTTAAGCTCTTTTTTAAAATAATTATGGTAAACTATTTTCTCCTGATATTGACAACAATCGATGTGTTATCTTAACAATGAAAAGCAAAATGATCCTTATTTGCAAATGGTGCAACTGCAAAAGCTTCATTAGAAGGCTGATTCCTTGCCAATATATTATATTAATTGCAGTTAAAAATGACGAAAAAATCCCTTTACCTATGAACGACAAATTTGTTTTATTTTTGACATATAAATATTGATACCTAAAGAAATGTTTTGCTTTTAGAGCAATTTTATCATTTTTGAAGGATTTTTTAAAAATTGCAATTTTCTGTAAATATAGCGCAATTAATTTTTTAATGTGCATTTGATTCTGAATTCTTGTAATCTGTTCTATCATTTTCATATAATTTTTAGAAAAGAAAATATCATACAAGAACCAGCAATGAGCATTTTGTTCAATACTTGTGAAATTTAGGAATGTTCATTCTTGACCTTTGACCTTGATTTAACAAAAAATGTACCGTAAGAATTATTGACGACCGGGCAAAACAGAAAGTACAGATAATAAGCTTTCGAATGATATGTAATATAGCCGTATGTTAGGTGGGCGCATTAAAGTAGTTAACTAAGCATCTTTTTGAAAAATGTCACTCGCCTATAAACAAATCCTTCCTTTTTTTTCATTATTATAGTTTAAGAAAGTTATTAAAATTTCAAAAACTTTAACCACAGAGTGAATATTTGTGGACGCCGCCGCCGAAGGAATGTAGGATCACTATGTCTCGCTTTTTCGACAAAAATCGAACGCTCGACAAAAAGCAGACACAATAAACCCAAATGAGATGCAGACGCCAAAATTTGAATTGTGCCAAAGGGACATTACCCAAATGTACACCAAGATAAAAAGGCAAACAGCACATATATACAAACTGTGGTCATTTATTTATATTTTCTAACATGCTACAGTGTACAATGCAGGACCTATTCATTGTTACATATGATTGTGGTGTACTAATTGTGAAAATTAGTATCAGATATATATATGTATGCATGTATATTCTCTATTATATTTTGTCAAAAATTAACTATGGTGTTAACATACTATTTTGCTGGCTCAGTAGATGTGATAAATGATTTTTTGTATAGATCAACTATACAACTGTCACAATTAAGTCAAATCTAGGTGATACAAATCTTTTATCTTTTATTACAAATCATGATAAAAATGTTGATACGAAAAGAGGGAGGCAACTCTTATCCTCCTGCTTTTCCATTTCAGTGATGTAGCACCAGTGTAGCATTGTAAGCATGTGCTTACAAAAAAATTTATTTAATATTTTTCTTCAATAAGAATTTTACTATAATCGTTCAGCTTTTGGGGGGCTGCGGCCCCCGACCAGCATACTATTTTGCTGGCTCAGTAGATGTGATAAATGATTTTTTTGTATAGATCAACTATACAACTGTCACAATTAAGTCAAATCTAGGTGATACAAATCTTTTATCTTTTATTACAAATCATGATAAAAATGTGGATACGAAAAGAGGGAGGCAACTCTTATCCTCCTGCTTTTCCATTTCAGTGATGTAGCACCAGTGTAGCATTGTAAGCATGTGCTTACAAAAAAATTTATTTAATATTTTTCTTCAATAAGAATTTTACTATAATCGTTCAGCTTTTGGGGGGCTGCGGCCCCCGACCATCTGCTTACAATTATTTTACAGTGGCTACACCACTGCATTTACAACCCTTACGTTATCAAACCAATATTATTTAGATACTTTCATCTTTATTTTCATATTATTAAACACAACTGATATATTGAAACAATATCAGAATATTTAAGCCTCAGATATAATAAGGATTAATATGAACTTGAAATTTATTTTAATAATATTTCGTAAACTACGTAAACAACAGTGCATCATAAGCCTCTATAGGCTGGTTGGTATAAATAAACATGTTCATTAACTATATACATATGTTTATAATTGTCATATATTGTATTTAATGTACATGTACCAAGTTGTACTTTAAACTAAAAATATATATATCTATATATCGTAGCTGTCATTTTTTATTGGCTGGTGAAGCCGAAGTGCCCAGAGAGAACCAAGACCTTCAGCAGGAAAGCTGAAAATCCTGGTCTATCACAATAGTTGTCCAACGCACCCACCTACCACGTGCGTGGTTCAAACTTGCAACCTCAGTGTTGACAGGACAATGATACAGTAGTTGAACTACTTAACCACTCCGCCACCAAGGACCCTTGAATAGTCATTAAATATACTAAATAATTTATTGAAATCAATACCTATATTCATATACTCAACCACAAAAGAAACGTATAAAATGACTTTGATTTTCAGTTTTTTAATCAAATTCTTGTCTGATGACCAATTTGAAAGTGACTTATCTTAAGACTAATTTTTGACTTTTGAAGTTGATATCTCCATTGTCGCCACTAAAATGAAATGTCTCTGTAATTTCTGCATTCATTTCAAGGTTTTGCTTGAAATATAATTGGTTTCCACAAATTTGTAGCAAAAACAAATTTAGATGGTGAAAAGGGAACGTCACCATCTAAAAATGGATAATCAACAATAAGAAATGAAAAATCATCTCTTTTTATCGTAAATTTTGGTATTAAGCTTCCCGTGAAAGATATAGGAAAGGGCAGTGTTCATTGTTAGTATTAGCTTTATTTAAAGTCAGTTCAGCAGGATAAATCTCTTTAGTGTACATACTGAAGTCGTCATTATTGAGATCCAATATATCATCCAAATATCTAAAAGTGTTATTAAATTTTTGTATCAGATGTTGTTTCGATGGGTCTTTGCTGATTTTAGCCATAAATTGTAACTCATAACAATACAGAAACAGGTCCGCAATAAGTGGTGCACAGTTAGTCCCCATTGGAAGTTTGCATAATAACTACCATTGTTTTTAAATACAGATAAGAATTCATCAAGTATAATTTATATAATGTTTAATTGATTTTGATTTTGATTAATACTTTTGCCATGCCACCTATTATAATATTGTCTTTTATCAACAATATTACTGGTGTCTGTAGAGGAAGTGTTATATATGTTCCCTTGTCCAATGCTATAACCATGCAGACAGATGGAATATACTGTCTTTAGTTGTTCAATCCAAGAAAGTTTGCAAATCTTACTGGAATCTTAAAATTTGTTATGCGATTGTTCGTGTTGTTTCTGACCGATTTCATGTGGTTGGTATTTTATAAATTAAATATTATGTTTGTGTTTTCCTAAATGTAGGCAAATCAAACATTAAAATTTCTTAGACTTCAAGTATTCAAATGGTATATATTTGCAAGCAACCCTGATATCGATTGTTTATGTTATTGAACTCATTGGAGGTGTTGATGAGTAAAAACCTACATTCAACTCTGAAGAAGATCTGATAAAAAATGAAGGCACTATCATGGCCACAAGACTTTATACTTTACAAGACCCCCTCTGAATATTTTTTAACTTTTGTAGATTTTTTTATTATCAAACTCATCCAAGGTTTGATGAGCAGAAACCTTCATACAAATTTAAAGAAAATAATTAATATGAGATATTTTTACAAGTCTTCTCTACCCAAACATTGTTCTCCATTTCAGAAATGTTCTGATTTTCTTAGCTCAACTATGGATTACATGAGTGAACATCTTCATTTAAATTTAAAGAAGAGCTGACAAAACATGAAGGGTGATCAAGTTGACATGATGAAAACATTATACCCACCGTTCTGTATACCAAAATATGTTTCCCCAAATGATCAAATATTCTTTACTGTTTACACCAACAGGAATAAATATTGAAAATTGTTTTCATTGGCTATTCTGTAATATTAGTTCCAATAAGACCAATTCAATAAAAGAACTGATGTTAAAGTATAATTCTGGGTTTCTAATGAATATAATACTTAATAGTTATTATTAAAGTTCCAACATGTTGGCTGCATTCAATAAACTATGAAGGGAATTCAACATTCATTCTCGTTTGAAATGTGGGTTAAAGTCTCCTTTATTAATTGATTATTGCATGCCACAGTTGAAGGTTCGCCCTCTTCTTCTATATTTTTAGATTTCATACTGACATCTGTTTGTGAATCCTCGGATTGCTGGTTATAATCAACACTTGTCTCTATTATGAATTGTCCATGACTTTTCGTTTTATGAGAAAACGCCACCATTTTGTTTGTGACATCATCCATTAACGATTTCAGTTTATCTTCAGTAACAGTTTCTTCATTTTGTTGCTCCTTCATAGAAATATCTGCCAGCTGTCCTCCAGATGCTTAAAAATGGTAGAAAAAGGATACTATAATATTAAATAGATTAATATTACAATGATCTAAATAGACAAATTTCTTCATCGTGAAAATAGTTAATGATATTCAATACACTTTACAACCTTACAGCTCATCTGATCAAAGGGTCGGTGTGAGCTACTGCCATTTAATATCATAATCAAACATAAGCCCTTAACAACGACTGACTTAACAACAAAGACTTACTGTGAGTCACGGAACCATGAAAGTTTACCGGAGGAATATGGAATAATGATTGTACATACCAAATTACTATTACCAGAAGTCCATTACTAGGGTAAGTGTTCAACCCGCTATATAGTAAGGCGATCACGATGTCCCCGCACTTCCAACTGTGATTGAGACGGGATTTGAGCGAGATTTCTATTAAAATTAACAAAAATCTGTGGCCTAATTTTTTGCAATGCACTCTGGGTAGAGATAATGTATGCAAAGCACGCTATAACTTAATTTGCTCTCAGTTGAAAATAATGTTTGACCATCGATGTGTTAATGAACAGTAGATCATAGATGCCATATTATAACAATGTCAGGAGTTATGATGGTTTTAATGTTAAGAAATCAAATTTTGGTATTATTTATCAATTTAAAAACTACAATTATTACCTTAGAAAAATTGTAAGAATAGAAAAGTCACTTCTTAATACAATTTACGTTTAGTTTCAGAGTTCATTGTGAAAAATGCCATTAAAAAGTTCACAAGATAAACTTGTGCATCCATATAGGTGTCAGACCACCAATTACTCCCTCCAATTTAGAACGTATGTGAAAGTAGGCCTACTCGGACAAAAAATAGTGCATTTGATGTCATTGTTTACTTAAACTAACCAACAAATTGGCAGAAATGAAACTTTTGGTGAAAGAGAAATATATTAAGACCATTTTGAGCCAAAATTTACTTGTCTATGAGTTTGCATTCAACATTGAGGATTAATGCACTCCATAAGTATACTAATTTAAGATTTCCAGAAAACCAGGGGTTATTTTTAGTGGTACCTCTATTCGGGAGGCCTCTTCTTTCTTATATGATTTTAAAGGTATGTTGAAAATTGGCATGTAGAAAGCTGATACATGTACAATTCAGGATATACCTGGTTTCTATGAAGTTAAACTTAAGGTCTAATATTTAGAAAGCTGTGAAAATTGCAAATTATGGTTGAACAGATTTGGACTATTGATTGGTGGTCTGACACCTTTAAAGCGAAATGCGGTGAAACCCCAAAATCAGAAAACAATTGATTTTTTTGTCTTAACTGATCATTTGAAATGATAGTAGCCACATTTCAATCTTTTTGGGGTCAAAAAGTCACATATTGCAAATTAAGAGCCCTAAACCTGAATTTGTGCTATTTTTAGCTTTTCCCAACCTGACAATATGCTTTCATATAAAAAAGTGTCCAAAATTGTTATAAATGCACAGTAAGTTGTTTCTGTGGTGTTAAACATGAAAACATAGGTTGTTTACTACCCAACAAAAATTGTTGTCATGAAGATTTAATGAAATTATTTGATTTTTACCCCTTATATCATTGTGTCATACCATGTATTTGACAGATAACATAGCCTGATGTAAACACTGCATAAACTCACAAAAATCCCATTTATTATCTCAAATAAAATTTTTATATCTTAAATTTTATTGACTGATAGTAAATAAAACCATTAAATGACCATGACTGCACTTTTGATCAATTAATAGTCCCATTACTAACACCAGGTGAAAAAAAGGGGGGTCAATATTCCTTGACTCTTCAATACCTTGGATTTTTTACTAAACTCATTGCAAAAATTGTGGAAAGTCTTTAAAGCAGTAGAACAAACAAGGAAAAATAAACAAAAACTGATCTTGATATTGAAAGTTTATGTTCCTGTAGTCCAAAATGAAATTTTCAAGTATTTTCTAAAAAAATCATACATTACAGTCAGTTTAAATTGAGCTGTGAAATTTGTAATATAAGTCGCATTATGCTCAAATAGGATGTTTTTAACTACAAATTGACTAAGGATTAAGAATAAAGAAAAACAAAAGATTTCTGATCAATTTTTTTGGCTCTTTAGGTGTCAGACCACCAATTACTCCCTCCAATTTAGAACGTATGTGAAAGTAGGCCTACTCAGACAAAAAATAGTGCATTTGATGTCATTGTTTACTTAAACTAAACAACAAATTGGCAGAAATGAAACTTTTTGTGAAAGAGAAATATATTAAGACCATTTTGAGCCAAAATTTACTTGTCTATGAGTTTGCATTCAACATTGAGGATTAATGCACTCCATAGTATACTAATTTAAGATTTCCAGAAAACCAGGGGTTATTTTTAGTGGTACCTCTATTCGGGAGGCCTCTTCTTTCTTATATGATTTCAAAGGTATGTTGAAAATTGGCATGTAGAAAGCTGATACATGTACAATTCAGGATATATCTGGTTTCTATGAAGTTAAACTTAAGGTAAAATATTCAGAAAGCTGTGAAAATAGCACATTTTGGTTGAACAGATAGGGACTTTTAATTGGTGGTCTGACACCTATACAGTACACGTTATGAACACTGGATGAAAGAATTCAAGACTTTAATAGGAATAAACATTCTATTATATTAAGTTTAAGTATGTATGTATGTTACAAATTTACAAATTTTCAGAAATCAGTTTTTAAAATTTTTTTTAAGGTTGCACAGAAATTCTGCAGACATTACCATTTTAAGCAAAATTAGCAAAATGTACCATCAATTTTGAAATAAAAGAGGAAAAATTATTGTATTCTTCAATTCAATTTCGAATATCATCAATCCTGAGTATGATCTTGACGGTTATATTACATTGGATAATGGTCTGGGGTGTATAAATTAGCAGCCACGTCAGGTTGGAGGAGGGTTGTTTAACTTAGTACCTCGCGTATACAGAATGAATGTCAAGCTCTTTGCATGTTAGATAACACTTGCACATCTCTTTAATGGGATACGCATGAAATGTTTGCCACTGAACATTAACACCTTCGCCCCCAATCCCGCCTGTAAGTCGTGATTGCAACAGCCATTCTTTGGTTGCCCGTATGACCCTCCATTATTTTTGAGAACTACCCCAGATGAACTGCCTGGACAGCAGGGAGTTCAACCATGCAATTCATGGTGCATAAACTTTTCCCAGATGTGTTTTTATGAAAATATGACAACTTTAATGGCCTTTTTAGGGTTCAAAAAAGTAGCCAAAATCAGGTAGGGGGGGAGTCTTTTGATGGCCACTACGTTACTTGTATGGGCTGTAGGTATTAACTATTGTCATAAATACATGCATAGGTGGTACAGGAACGCAAGGAGGTATAATATGGCCAAAACAAATCTGGTCTGTAAAATCTAGGTCACTGTTTTATCAGAACTCTGTAAAAACGGACATTTAGGTAGACCTTGCTTGCCAATAATAAATCCCCAGCAAGACACTCAAGTCACGTTTACTTCCAGTCAGTATAGATGTACTGCTGTAACTACAAGGTAATAAAGTTTGGTCAATGTTCACCTCTCAAGGTCGTATTAACATCGAAAAATAGACTGAAAATGACCATTTTTCAGTGGGGGTAGGTTCAAACCCACCAGAAAATATTCCACCTCCCACCCTACATCACAGTACATAGCTCCCTTGGTGCAGTTTATAAGTGAGACGCAACGATCGATTTAAAAAAGGAAGCACTTATGACTGTATTTTGAAGAAAAAAAACACTATATCTATAAAGACGATTTTCAGTCATGGTGGATTTGATATAATTTTATAGGTCTAATTTGCCTTTGCGCAATCTTATGAGGACAGTCTATACTAACAGTTAGTATAGAAAGTCCCTGATGGTACCAATGTATTCTTTTATAAAATTTTATATCATTTTCTGATGTTGAAAATGAAGTTTTAAATAATTGGCAATTAGAAATCCACTACACTAAATCGGCTCACTTTATTTTCAGCAAACTGATAATTAATAAACTCAAGAGACTAGTTAACAGCTATTTGTTTGATGATATTATTTCTACCCATGATTTCATAGTTGAATAAAATGCTGCGCACGGCGCATCTTGATACGACCGCAGAGGTTGAACCCTGAACAATTAGGGCAAGTATGGACTCAACATTCAAGCTTGATAAAACTCTGAATTTTGATTTTGATTAAATATTTGACATATCATAGGTTTCTGACACAGAATGAATGTGGTATAAGCACTTAAAAATTTGAAATTAAAAATCAACATGTCTATTACGGTCCAATATCTAAATACATGGCTAGATTCAGCATATCAAAAAAACCAAGAATTCAATTTTTGATGAAAGCAAACAAAGTTTAATTTTGAATCCTTTGGACCTCAATGTGGACCAATTTGATAACGGGGCCACAAATCCAAAATTAAAATACAGGGTCAGATATGGCATATTAAAGAACCCCAATAATTCAATTTTTGATGAAACAAAGTTTAGTTTTGGACCCTTTGGACCTCAATGTGGACAAATTTCAAATTGGGGCCCAAAATCCAAATCTGAATACAAGGTTCAGCATATTAAAGAACCTCAAGAATTCAAGACTGTGAATTAAACCCCATTGAAATTGGTCCAGATTAGAAAAGTATTGTTTTTGGCCCTTTATTTCCTAAATAGTTAGGGCCATAACCCCCAAAATCAATTCCAACCTCCCTTTTCTGGTATGAAACCTTGTGGTACAATTTTATAGAGAACCATAGACTTATACTCGTCTCAAGTTATCGTCCGGACACCAGAAAATCATTGTTTTTTGGGCCCATTTTGGCCCGTCATTCCTAAATGGTTTGGGCCATACCCCAAAATCAATCCCAACCTTTCTTTTGAGGTATTGAACCTTGTGGTACAATTTCATTGAGATCCATATACTTACCGGTATACTAAAGTTATTGTCTGGAAACAAATGTCTTTGGACGACGATGTCCTACCATAATAAGACAGCAAACATTTTGCAGTCGTATAAAAACGAGATTTGGGAGGACCACCTATATCGCTTTCCACTGATAAAGGGGACAGTGTGATTGCCCAGCTATATAGTACAGCTTGAACACTTTCCCTAGAAATGAACTTCTGCTATTTCTGATAATAACTGAAGTCAACAAATCAACATTATACATTTTATCATTAAATCCTGAAAATGAGGTCAAATTCTTGTTACATGTACCCATCAGATTGACACAAAGCACAAAAAAAAACTAAAACAAATACTAAAGACACAAAATACTGATCTTAGAGTTATCTAGGCTACTGAATGAAAGCCAATTACAACTAATTAATAAATCAGTGTAAAGATGTCAGAAAGAGTTTGAGAAAAACCTGACCTTGTGCAATGCCAAAATATGAGTATTTAAAGAATATAGGACTGTAAGGGAGCTACTATTTGATTTTTATGGGGGGCTAGGATGAAAAATTTTGTCCTGCATTTTTTTTTAGTTGTAATCTCTGTCCTGCCTTTTTATTTTTCACTCTATTCAGTCCTGCCTTTTTTTTTATTACTTTATCCTGACTTTTTTTACATAAATTGTCATCCTGCCTTTTTTTTTTGCACAGTTGCTCATCCTGCCTTTTTTTTTTACTCAAAACTCCTGCCTTTTTTTCAAATTTCATCCTAGTAGCCCCCCCCCATAAAAATCATATGGTATCTCCCTAAGTGTTCATAGGAATACATATTTAGTAATGTTTTAATTTATGTATAAACACTTGTTTAGGCCCTGCACAAGGAAAAGCACAGATAAATATCTATCAAATATGGTCACATTATGTTCAGTGGTTGAGGAGCTCATTGAATCGTACCAATGGATCCCCCTTTTTTGCCACATCAAGCTGTATTTTCTTTAAAATCAGAACCAGAGTAAGAACATGTGGTTAGTACAGTAAATAAACATTTTTGAATGTATTGTTTTCATTTCACTAAATCTGTTCTTGAAAGAAATGAAAAAAAACAAGTAAAACTGTGAACTACTGATGATACCCCCGCCGAAATATTTCGGTTAACAGGAACTTGTTGAGTGATGAGTCTGAAAACGCATCACACGGTATAGCTGACTTATATAAACCCTGAAACTAAATTTCAGAAATCCTTGTCAAGTAGTTCCTGAGAAAAATGTGACTAAAATTTTCAACTTGGCTATCATGTGTAAAATAATACAAGTGTTCGGTAAACAGGAAGTTGTTGAGTGGTGAATCTGAAAACGCATCACACGGTGTAACTTACTTATATAAACCCTGAATCCAAATTTCAGAAATCCTTGTCAAGTAGTTCCTGAGAAAAAATATTTCTATTAAAGGTTTCAATGTCATATATCACATAAGATGTTGACCTTTTGAATCTTTGATCAACTTCAAAGAAACAACACTATTTATGCTCTGCACAGGAACATATCTGTCAAGTTTTAGTTACAATTGGTTCAATAATTTGATAGACGATCTTTGAAAATGAACCTCTCAAGCCATACGTGACTTTTCATCGAGACCACAAAAAAAACCCAGCACTTGGTACCTTCCAAAGAACATTTCTACATGGTTTGTTCTCATTTTTCTTTATTTCTTCTTGAATAAAAAAGTAAAATTATTTTTCATATAGGGTTTCTATGTAAACTTTTACCTCATATTGTTGCTATTTTGAATTTCAGGTCAAAGTAACAAACACTTGCTTTAGACATTATCAGGGACACATCTGGAAAGTTTTGTTACAATTGGATGAGTAGCACTAGAGATGAACATCTTAAATCGGATCAATTGGACCACTTTAAGGCCCCTTGAAGCTAATATATGACTTTTCACAAGGACCCAAAACAAAAGCAAAATTCATTTCCCCATCGAGTTTCAATGTTATCTTTGACCTATGAATTTCTGATTGGCTTCAAAGTCACAACATTTGTATTGGCCAACAAATGAAAATATCTATCAAATTTAAGATAGTATTTGAAAATCAGACCAATTGGACGGTGATTTGGACCCCTTTTTGCCCCTTCAAAATGTATTTGACTTTTCATCAGGACCAAAGTAACAAACACATGATAAGTACCTTCGACAGACTGTTTTTGGTTGTTTTATATTCATCTTATTTACATCTATTCTTGGATAAGTAAAATAGTTGCAATATAAACTCTGATGAGGTGATTTTGAATTACGATCAATTACTGGTTGCCTTCAAAGTAATTAAACTTGTTAATGACCTTCAAGGAAAAAGAAATATTTGTCAAGTGTCATTTGAATTGGTTCAGTTGTTCTTCAGAAGAAGTTTTCCTAAATTCAATCTATCATAAATTAGAAAAGGCCAAAGCAGATATGTTTATTGACAAATCGACACCAAAGTAACAACACTTAGATATGACCGTGTAATGAACATCTCTGCAAAGATTGGTTACATTCTGTTTATAGGTAGTTGTCAAGAAGAGCAAAATATGAAAGGCTTATGGATGACAGATGACAGATGAAGACTGATGATTTTGAACATAGGCCAAGTGACCTAAAAACTACCCTTGCCATCAAAACTTTTTTAAATTTTGTTATCAAAGTAAGAAATTGGAAGCGAGATTCGTAGCTCCTGTATTTCAAAGATAAGTAAAAAGAATGGAAAATTTCTTTTTTAATTTCAGTGAGTGACAAATTATATAATCTTAGTTGTTACATACTCTGCATGCATTCTACAAGCTATCTGCAATCATCTTGCTATTAAATTGCTAAGATAATAATTTGTAAGGATATTTCAGAAATTGTGTTATAATTTTAGGAAATTTTGTTTCTCTAACATGCAGACAAAATATTGATAATAATAATAATCCTCTACAGTTAGTGGACAAACAATTATTCCCTTTTCATTATTTTTCTAAATAATATAATCATTTTTTATAAACTTTTTTTTAAATACTCATTTCCTCACCAGTTTTCATCAAATATTTACTATTACATCCGATTATGTTTGTTGTTACTTTGGATAGTTTTCATAGTTTTGTATAAATCTTGGTTTTCAAGAATTCTTCAGTTAAAGATGAAATAATAATTTGTGGTAATCAAGTTACTTTATGAATATCGTAATCAAATAAAATTAAAGTTTAAAATTTACTAACTTAATTAATCATAAATTCTTCATTATCAAAATTAAAATAAATATGTTACAAAAAAACATAATAAAGACACTTTATATATTTCTGAGATAAATGTAAATTCAGAAATTATTGCAATGTTTTTATAATTGCGAATTATGCGACTCCTTGAGTATCGCAACAATAAGAACTCGCATTATGATATCTGATGCATGTATTTGTATGAAGCTTTTCCTAAAATCGCAATAATTAAACCTCACTTATGTTCAATTCCAAAAAAATCGCAATTATAATGCATGCAATAGTTAATGCATTTACAGTATTGCTGAGAATCTGAGAGAAAAAAAGAGTTTAACACATCTTTTTTTGAAAACCTTATTGATTACCTTAGCTCAGCTGTTTAAGATTAGTGCTATGGAATAGACTACCACACAAAATGTGTAAAGGCCAAAACACTTTTACTTTTAAACAAAGTATCAAGAAGTACTTGACACAGTCCTGGTAAGATTCTGTTTTCCACAATGTATTATTTTGATTTGTATATATATATATATTTATATTTTTACATGTACCTCTTAAGCAGTTTTATCTCTTATCATGTTTATAATAAATCATTGAACTACTTGACTGTAAATAAACTATGTGTAACATATCTGTTTTTGATTGTATTGTAATTTGTATTAGAGGGCCTCAGGGAAGATAAGTTATTGTAACTAACTGTGTTTACCCTCTTTAAATAAATAATTTATAATTATTATTATTAGTATAAGATGTAAAGTAAACAAAATGGAATGACTTTTATTAACGTACTGCAGACCTTTACAAACTTGTTCTTATGTTGTGCAGTACCACAAATTTTCCACCTTAGAGGAAAAGTTGAGTTCTTACAAACATGTTTAACTACGTCACATTCTCTATGCACCTGTCCTAAGTAAATAACCTGTAATTTAGTATTTTTTTTAGGTAGTGTGTGTCATATGTGTTTTTTGTTTATTGTTTTGTCAATTAATCAGACAGTTAGTTTTCTCATTTGAATTGTTTCACATTTTGTCAAGTTGGGATATTATAAAACTGACTACAGTATTGGTTTTGGTCATTATTGAAGGCTGTACGGTGACCTATAGTTGCTTATATATTTACATCATCATAACTCTTAGGATACTTGTCTCATTGGCAATCATACCACATCTCCTTAGTATTATAAAGCACAATCAAAAATATTTAGGATAAATTTTGCACTTTAAATTCACTTACACAATAAATTGCTCTGTTTCAAATCATCTCTTTCAGTACATTTAACTATTTCCTCCTTTGTTGGAAGAAGGTCAAGGTCATCCATTGAAACTGCATTATTAACAGGAGAAAGGAATTCAGCTGAATTTCCATAGTCTGTTGACACACCATGAATCTGCATATATGACCTGTTTACATTAGTATTTTTAATATCTTCATGATGTACAAGACTGTTATCATGAGAAATACTATAACTACAATGTGTGGGACTTGTCAATTCACTGCTGGAAGGACTGTAAAGGTCGCACTCTAGGTTATCATTATTATAGTGATCTATATCTTGACTTGTATCTTGTGCAGTATCATCACTTGATTGAGACATAAGAGGAATTAGTGTCTTTACATCCTCACACTCTGCTCTTAACTTTTCCAGGTTTGGAAGACTGCCTAAAATGACAAAGTATAGTGAAACATGTTTATATCAACTGAACTTTTATCACAACACGAAAAAGTCAGTGATTGTAATTTTACTTCGATACTACTTGACTTTTTATATTATTTACTATAATTTAGAAGTTTTTGTGATGTTCAACTGTTTTCCTGAACAGCCAGTTGAAGCTAATGTTTATAAAAGAAGAATGTGTCAATGGGACACAGATGCCCCTGCTTGTATATATGCAAGATTCAATGTCCTAATCTAAACCTATTGACATTTTTTTCCATTGAAACTGAGTGACACAGCAAATTTGGCAACTTTCCATTTATGAACTTGGGGGAATAGCTCAAGATCTGTGAAAGAGAAGCCACCCAAATTCGAACTTGATCTGTGATAGTGTGTGGAAACGGCAAATTCTGCAATTTTTCCATTTATAAAGGGACATAACTAGGGAACAGTGAAAGTGATGCCACCCAAATTCAAACTGGATCTGTGTTTGGTGGTAATAAGCATTGCGGAAAAGTTTCATAACATTTGGTCAAAGTAAACTGAAGTTAGAGTACGGAAACGATAAAATTAGCATTTTTTTTTATTTATAAAGGGACATAACTCGAAAAGGATGAAAGTGACGCCACTCGATTTTCGAACTTGATTTGTGTTAAGTAGTAACTGGGACTATTATACTAATAGTTAGTATAATAGTCCCAGGAGTAATAAGCATTGTGTAGAAGTTTCATAAAATTTGGTCACATTAAACTGAAGTTAGAGTGGGGAAATGACAAAATTGGCAATTTTTCCATTTATAAAGGGACATAACTAGAGAAGGGTGAAAGTGACGCCACCTTAATTTGAACTTTGTGTATCAGTATCATAACATTTGGTTGAGGCAAACTTAAGTTAGAGAACGGAAACCAATTTTGGGACGTATGGACGTACAGACTGACAAGGGTAAACCTTCATGTCCCATTCGTCTAGAGGTGGGGTATTGTTTGAATAAAAAAACCATTTTTGATTCTGATACATGCAGTATTTCCTCTAATACAATTTATTAATTACATTGATAAAAAAATTCCTAAGAGGTTCCGCGGAACCCTGTGTATTGCCTACGATTGCTGCTGTCAGTGTAAAAGTGTAATGTTGACTTTAAAAAGGAGTCTATTTATCAGTAAAATACAGAATTTAAAAAAAAAATCTAATTTTTTCTTTAGATGCTATCTCTTGGTCTTGAAGATTAGCTTCTGTCCAAGTTTCATAACAATCCATGAAGGTTTACAAACTTATCATGTCAAAAAAATGTAATCCCAGACTGTCTGTAAATGTTAACTGTAAAAAAACTTAGTCCATCTTTCTGAAAAATATTGAAAATGAAAATATATTTTCAAAAGTTTGCTTCCGACATTATCTCTTAATCATAAAAAAGCTTCTGTCAAAGTTTCATGAAGTTCTATGAAGGTTTGACAAAGTATTTGATGTGTAACAAACTTTAACCCTAGACTGTATCTACTTGTTAACTGTAAAAAAAATTAAGTCCATTTAATAGTAAAATACGGAAAAATGAAAATAAATATTTTCAAAATTTTACTCTGGATACTGTATTTTGGTCATAAACAAGCTTCTTTCCAAATTTCATAAAATTCCATGAAAGTATGAAAAATTATTGATGACTGAAGAACTTTAACCTCAGACTGTATCTACTTGTTAACTGTAAAAAAATTAAGTCCATTTATCAGTAAAATACGTAAAAATGAAATTAAATATTTTCAAAATTTCGCTTTGGATACTGTATTTTGGTCATAAACAAGCTTCTGTCAAAATTTCATAAAATTCCATGGTTTGACAAAATTATTGATGTCTAAATTTTTTAAACACAGACTGAACCTAAATGTTGAAGCAGCCGACGCTGACGAAGACGGAATATAGGATCACTATGCCTCGCTTTCGCGACATAAATGTCGCAGGCTTGACAAAAAAATCACATTTAAAAATGGACCCAATAGTTCCAGAAATTACAGTATACATAATAATTAGTTTGATCTCCCTCATAAGTAAGTGTGCTATTAAGGTACATTGTATTGGTTTTCACTTTTCTATATTAATGTTCTACACACACAAAATTTCATATTTGATATGGTCTCCGTGTATTTTTTTTCCTGAACATTTTTACATCCGGCAGTATCATGTATTTATGTCCTCTGGTATAAAATTAATAATTAAAAAGCATAAAATATCTGAGTCCAAAGTTTCATCAATTCCATTTTTTCAAAACACAGCTACTTCATGAAATATTTATATATATATATATTACAACGAACTTTTTATTTATATATATATATATATACACGCCTAAAACAGATATCATTCATCAGTATGATTATGATGATATAAAATGAATCATATCAATCTATTCTGATTTAACTGAAACAATCTCTACAGTTATACAATTAAAATCTGAAGAACGCTAGTATTATTCTAAAATTTCATAAATGACGTAGGTTAAGTATTTACAATAGAGACTGCATAGATATCCATCTAAAAAGATTAGTAATGTGCGATATGAACTAGTACAATTCTAAAATTTCATAGGTGATGAAAGTTAAGTTATTACAACAGAGACTGCGTAGAAATACATTCCCAAAGAATAGCACTGATGGATTTGAACTGGTATAATACTAAAATTTCAAATTTGACAAAGGTTAAGTAATTACAACAGAGGTTGTGTATTTAAACATCCAAAATTAATAGCAATAGCACTGGTCGATTTGAACTGGTATAATTCTTAAATTTCAAAGTTGACGAAGGTTAAGTAATTACAACGTGGCTGTGTATTTATACATCCCAAATGGATAGCACTGTGCGATTTGAACTGGTATAAATCTTGAATTGCAGAGTTGACGAAGGTAAAGGAATAACAACAGAGACTGCTAAGTTTTACAACCCAACTGAATAGAACTGCACGATTAGAACTACAGTTTTACATGATCCCATTTGGTGCCAGTTGGTTTAAAATTTTTTTATCCAAAATCTTTCTGAGTGATTGATTTCCTCCCTAGACCAAGCAGTGTTGTGGTCTATGATGGTAATAGTAAGTCGATTGAGATCTGCCTTAGAATGGCCAAAGGATCTCAAATGTCGACTAAGATGAAGGTCTGGCTTGCAGGGGACGTAATCCAGCTAAAAGGGACATAATAAGAATGTTGATTACTACAAAATATATATTGATTCAATCAATTTCTCCTAAACTTTAAAGAATTCAGTTTTTGAGTGAATTTACTAATTATTTATTGTTTATTCTTTTTTTGTTCATGTCAACAAACCTGATTTTTGCTGGTGAGACTTTCTATGTCTAAATAGTCAAATTTTCTTATGAAATTATTTGTAAATGTGTAATTTTTCATGGATCAATTTCAAACAAATATAAAGTTAAAGATTGTTTAACAGCTGTTGAAACAATATTTTGACAATAAATTTATGGAAAGGTAAAAATTCAGTAACTATCTCGTTAAAACAAGGAATTATTTGAATATGGAATAATTTTGAAATCTGGAAATTTGATATAAATGTTTATAAACATCTAAATAAAAAAAATTCAAAAGGATAATCCCAATAGTTAAAACGAATCTTCCTGAGAGTCCTCAAAATAATAATAACATTTACATAAAGTACATACAATATTATAATTTAAATTAATAGTTAAGATCCATTTTGTTACATCTGGTGATCCGTTTATTTGGCAATCGCCAATGACAGTCAGCAGGGTTAAAGAACATATCCGTTGTTCGACCTGCTAGTCAAATGCGTTTTGTTAAAATATACTTTTTCACTTTTTTGGTCTTTTGGAAAATGTTGTTTGTGCTGTATTTAGACCCCTCTACCAAGAAATTTGTTTTGCATGCACACGTATAAAAATTGCGGTTTTATCCAACGCAATCATAGGTTTGAACGTTGTTTTCAATTTAGACTTATCAATATTATAATGATATATACACAATATACAATTTTATATAGGTATTAATGAAAAAGCCTATTAATCTGCCTTCTACCTTGTTTAAATTAAAGCCTATTGAGGTGCCAAAATTCAAAGATAAATAAATAGCCAAAGAAGTTATAAAATTCCTGTAGGCAAAAGTCAATATTCCTGTGACCATGGAACTATTTTATATAAATAGATTATTAAGACACAATACGTTTTGGAATGCTACACATAGGTTATTCTGGGGCCCTCTCAAGTGTTCAGATTATTATCCAATCAGCAAGGGGGTTTGGAACTATTTTATATAAAAAGATTATAAAGACACAATACGTTTTGGAATGCTGTACATAAGTTATTCAGGTGCCCTCTCAAGTGTTCAGATTATTATCCAATCAGCAAGGGGGTTTACCAGTCACTGCTGCATGTGCTTCTCGTTTACTAATTGTTTTGCGAGATCATACTCATTAACCAATGAGAATGCTCATTAATTTTGAATTAACCAATCAGCCCTTAATTAGCAGAGCTTTTGTTTTAAACACGCACGCTTAATTATTTTTAAAGCAGCGCTTGCTTGTAGCAGTCATTTTAAATTTTCGGGAAAATATTTTCTCCAACAAACTGACTTCAAACGTTTATAGTGCAATGCCTCAAAATCGTTAAGTACCTGTTAATAAACTCGACATGTCATAAAGATGCAAATGAAATATACCGAAATAACTTGGTGAGTACTTAATTGTTAAGGAAATGAAATTTAATGACCATGTCAATACATGACAAATATGTCAGTTTCTACGGGTTAAAAATCTGAAGAGTTAAAATACCCGCAAGTCATGAACATTTCAGTTTTAGCAGAGACATATTTTTGCATAATGAAATAGTGCCTAGCGAAGGAAGAAGAAAAAAATCGTACCAAACTGTTTTCCGTCTTGCTTCGCTATAGGCGCTATTTCTACCATTTAGGGCTATTACGTCACCCTTTGTTCGAACCATAGATCTGCCTTTCCGGTGAACATGACAGAATCTAAAGAACCAATAAAATAT